TTTTGTTTTTGGTCGTAAAGGGAATCAGTATTTTTTAAATTTGGTCGAAAAGTGAATCGGCCGAAAAGGGAAGGGTACGTTTTTGGTCGAAAACGGCTATGCCCGGAAGTTTAGGCGGAGTTTTGAATGACACCCGTAGGTTTATGCCTGGACGGGTGGGCGGTGGCCTCTCTTTCCAGATAGCATGAACTGCCCAGAAAGCGATGCTGCTCAATGTGGCCACAGTACCTACCCATGACCGGGTTMGAACCGGCGACGGTGCGCGTCGAAACCGACACATTAATCCACCCGGCCACTACACCCCCTATAATATTATTATATACGTAATTGTTGTTATATAATACACGTTCCATTTTATTCAATCGAATGTGTCCTATCTGACTTTCAGACTGATTAACGTAGAGCCTGAAAAATGATAGAAACTTATGGACTTATGACAAGCTAGAAACTTGAAATTTTCTTGATACCTACTTTTGTGTGTACACACACATACATCGATGAAATCAAAATATATTTTGCTTATAAATATTTACTATTATTGGTTATAATACAAATAGCAGAACATTTTTATGTTTTGAACATTATAATACCTACTAAATATGAAATAATAAAATTACTAATGTTTGAATTTCATAGAGTTTGCATTATTAATGGGCAACTAATTTCACAGGAGCAGCTATAGTTTTAAGATAAATTTCTGGAGTGGATTCTATTGTTAATCTTTTAAACAACTTGATCGATTGAAGTAAAATTTTTATCAATATATTACTTGAAACTTTGGAAAGAATCTATTCATAGCTTTTTTCAACTCTTAAAAACACCTAAATGGTAGGTTAGATTAAATTATAAATTACAAATGGTTTGTTGTTTAACTAAATGATTACCACTGTTGATCACCATATCATATTACATAACTAATATAATAGAAGAAATATAGCAAGAAATATTTTTTTTTTACAAATATAATCATTATAAATACTATTTTTTGGTTTGAGGAACGTCAGATGAGACAACTAGTATTGTAATTAAATATTTATAAACTAAAATTCAAATTCGACTCATTTTTACTGTTAAAAATTGGAAAGTTGTTGGAACACAGGAATTTTGATATTTACGACGAAATTCGAAAATATTTTGTTTACAAAATAAATGGTTTCCATTAGTTAATCGTGTATGCTAGTTAAGATTATGTATCTATAGAAAGATTATATCTTTAAAAAAATATGAAAGATTTAAATGTATTTTTGTAGATTTTTAGCTTATATATTCAAAAACTACACGACCGGTGTTGTGAAAATTTCAAATTSCTTTTAAATATTTAAGGATATAGTTTGAACTGCTTTCGATTTATACMCAATTTATATAATATGCTTATCCAATCAGCCACAAAACGAATTATCCATCTATGTCATAAAAGCACATAGCAAGTTTACACCGACTCCGATTTGACCGTAATAGGAAGCACTTTAAAACCTAGATAGCCTATAATATATAACAACTACATATTTAATTTTTTTTTTTCAATGACTATGTTGGATTATAAACTTAAATAAATGTTGGTTTATCTGAAGTTAATAGACTCAAAAATTACTGGACTGTTTTCAATAATAATTACTCGTATATCAATATAGATTCATATTGACAACTATAGTGTTCTAAATATTGTACTGACAGATCTTTGATTGAAAATAAAAATAGTATGTGTTTCTGCGATATTCGTGCAAATTTATGCTAAATAACGGTAATAAAAAAAAAATTTTTTTTCAGTTGCATGTTTTTCATTATTACGATTCCAGTATCACTGATGTTGTGAAAATTGTGATATTGACCATGAAATTGCATACACATTAAGTGCTTATTATTTATATATAAAAAAATACAATACACACCTATAGCTAAGTATATTAAAATATTTGATATTGGAATAACGTACGTCGATTAAAAAAATCTGACGATTCGCGATGGTAAAATTTAAAATTTATTGTGAACTATCAACCAAGAAGACATATCTATGACCTTCGATTAAAAAAAAGCTATAATATTTGCAAAATATATTATAATTCTAGTTTTATTGTGTTTGTATAATATTTATATATACATATTACTGATAAGTTGTAATTAATAGTATCTTATTTATACGGTTTATTTAGAAATTATCGAAAATTAATAAACATAACATTAGTAAGTAGGAAAGTGCTTGAAAATATCTAATATTAAGTACCTACACGGCTTCACTATGATTATACTTGCGTACCTAATTGTAGTTTTATATACATTAACGTTTCAACAGTTTACAACAGGCAGTTAGAAGTTTTAAAGATGAATTGGCGCAACTAGCGGCGATGAATTTAAACTTACTATTATAGTATATAATTTTTTAATTAATAATATATACATTTTTCAATATATTATCCAGGTCAATTTATGATATGAAATGACAGTGTTATTTATCAAACTCATACTACTGTGATATTATATTATAATTATATGCCATTATAATAATCATCGTATTACTCTCATTATACTATTTAAAAATGTACGTTTGATATATTAAAAAAAATTTTTATTGATTAACAAATTGTTATTTTATGAACGCAGTGATATATTATGTGCCATATACAACATATTTTATATTTACTTATTGGTATTAGTTGCATATTTGTATACAAAATATATTAATATTATACTTAAAAGTACAATTTATGAATATCTATTTATAAATATACAACCAACATATTTTATCTTTTAGCAATACGTGAGTCAAATAATTGTAAAATTTGTGAATAATACATTTTTCATTCATATACTATAAACGTACTGTTTATACAAAACACAAATTACAATTTACTGAATACACGAGATGTTATAGAAAATCAATTCTCAAATAGTAAGTATATTGTAATACTTTTTATTTATGTATTTTATTTTATGATGACATTCATTGAACAAAAAAAAATTATTTTTAATAAAATAGATTTTAATTATTTAGATTTAATTTAAAAATTGAATACTTATTATATTTACTATATTAATAATATATAATAATATATAGTATCATATTATATAATATTTTTCAACAAAACTTGTTTACTATTTTATACTTCAATTGATTTTCATAACAGGTAAAAATAATGGATTCTAACTGTAAATTTCAACGGCCAAAACATCCTAGGGCCAATGCAAACGTCTTTGAGATCATCACATATAGGTAAAACAATGAATCAATTACTATATAAATAATGAAAAATGAATAACATAATAACAGTGTTTAAATAATAATATGTATATTTCACATTATTTCATTCAAACTGTCGTCTTTATAAATTCTTATTGAAGTGTATTCCTAATGTTTATAAAGTTTTTTTATAATTTTTGTCAGAATTTTTATTTTTGTGAATCGTATTTGTATTTTTTAATACCTACTTAATCTGACGTGTTATCTAAAGGATACGGTTTGATTATATTTGATTATAATAATATTAAAAATAATTTGCTTTTATATTATTTAGCTGGATATTGGACCTTTTCAAAATAGTATTCAATAGAGACATAGAAATAAATGATTTGTATATACCTTTAAATGAACATAAGTCTTCAAAATTAGGAAATGATTTAGAAAAGTAAGTCACTTTAAATTAAAATCTAAATGCATATTTTCATTAAATTTATTAATTTTATGAACAAACAATTTAAGGAAATGGAGACTAGAACTGGCTCTCGCAAATAATGGGAACAGAAAACCTAGTTTGTTAAAATCCTTAATCATGTTGTTTGGAACTAAGATAATGTTTCGGGGATTAATTCTCAGCATCAGTGAAATTATTTTTAAGTAAGTGTTTAAAAACTTATATTTAATTTTTCATATTATAGTTGAGAATTACATTTTTGAACTAATATAATATTATACGTAACATTATGAATTATACTATTAATATATTTTAACCTAACCTAACTTATCTTTGTCAAATCATGGAGACATTTTTATGACAGAAAGCTAATTTTATTTATTTGATATACTATATAGGTCCAATGTACAATAAAAATATATTTTGCGAAAATCAATAATATAAACTATTAATTATTAAATATTTAATCTGTTTATAGGTACCTGTTTCATGTAACACATATTAAATATGTCACGTGTACCTATCTAAAATTCAGTTAATTATGTAGGATTTTAAAGTGTCAGTGTTAAACAACACTTATGTTGTAACTTACATTGAGTAATTTGTATTATATTGCCCCAGTAAAAATTAAGTCTTCAATTCAGATAACCAATCTTTCATCAATATTGTTCAATAAAAATGTTTGATAATTTAATATAAAGTTAACAATTTTAATTCTTTCAATATGTATTATGTTTGATTTAATAGGTACACTAAAATAATATAAATAAACTTTGTGGCATATTCTTAAGCATCCAACAATTTAAAATACGATATAGGGTTTAACAACCATATATTATATTATAATATGTGACTAAAATTGATTATGTATACGGAATTTTTCACTAATATGGTGTTATATTCACAAAATAAATTGTTGCCTTATAAATTCTATAATTTTATAAATGAATAACGATGTAAGTGTACTCCGTATACCCAATGCCTAAATATAAATATAATATATTGCTACAACTTGATTGTTTTTAACAGTGTCAGCGTTATACATATTGATGTCCTAGTCAAAACAACGTCTAAATTACCAGTAAGATATTATGAAATAAAATACTATGACAGAGAAGTTGATATGTAGCCATGTAGGTAACTTTTAAGGAAATCAATATACATTTTAATTTATTTGAAAAAATTTCAAAGTGCTCAGAGCCTCAACGATTAAAGACTTAGATGCATATTTTATATAATACGGGGTAGGTACAGGCTCTTTCTTAGGAGTAGATATAATACCTAATATAATTGTGTCCTCCATACCCCTTTTCCTATATATTCTATTTTATGTTCTATCAAATTCGTATAAGCAATTGCAGTTAATATAGGTACTACTGACATATTGTAATAATATTATATTTATATTAAAACTTTTAAAATTTAAACATTTTATATCAACATCCACCACATAAGCAAATTCAAATAATTAAATGTCATTGTTAAAATAGGTATTGCATACTTGGTGAATTATTTCATATACCTATTGTATTTTATGTTTAATAATTCAATGACAATCATGTTATAAGCTAATCAGGAATTTATTGATACAAACATTGTTATTTATTTATTTATAAAAATATGTCTTATGACAAATATGAATGTGTTAGATATGTGAAACTCCCTTATAGAGTAATATACCTAATATAATGCATGTGAACTTTTAAAGGATGTGCCAACCTATATTTATTGGTAAATTACTATTATATTTCAATACCGAAGAGCAAAAAAAAATCGATTCAAAATATGCATACATTTACGCTACCTGTTTAACGATATGCACGTTAATCTCAATGATCTTTTATCATATATCACTAATGGACATGATTCACTATGGGATGAAGTTGAGGATTGCTTGTTGTTCATTAATATACAGAAAGGTATATTTAATAATAAAATCCTAAAAAATAAAATAAATTTTATTAATATTAATTATTAAAAATTTATTTTTTATTAATTTTTCTAAATATCAACAATATTTTCTGATCGTAAAAGTTTTTATTAGGTTTCTACATCATAAAATTGTATCTTTATAATAATTGTATAATTATAACTTTCACATCTAGGCTGTGCGGCTAAGTAGCACATCATTAGGTGAAACATCTGTCGGTCGAGTAGTTAATTTATTATCAAACGACGTAAATCGGTTTGATAGAGCACTATTCTATCTGCACTTTTTGTGGATTAGTCCCCTGCAAACAATAGTGGTTACATACTTATTATGGCAAGAAATAGGTGTATCATCAATATTTGGAGTTGCAACATTGGTTATGTTCATTCCGTTTCAAGGTTTTGTAAAACCAATTCAATAACATTAAGTATACTATAAAACATAAACAATTAAAATAAATACGTATATACATTTTCTAGTGTGGTTTGGAAAAAAAATTTCCATATTAAGATTAAAGACCGCCATTAGAACTGATGAAAGAGTGCATTTAATGAACGAAATAATTTCGGGTATTAAAGTTATCAAAATGTATACATGGGAAAAACCTTTCGAAAATTTAGTGCAATACGCAAGGAAGTACGAATTAATTTTTTGTAAATAAATTATTAATATTATAAAAAAAATCTTAATTTATGATATTTTATAGAATGGAAATAAAACAAATTCGAGGATTGTCATATATCACAGCAATATTCGTATCTTTTACGGTATTTCATTCGAGGATTTCTTTGTTTTTTAGTATACTCGCGTATGTTGTACTCGGAAACTATATAACCGCCCAAAAAGTAAGAAAATCTAGTCAATTTTAACACAGATCGAACTTTAGTTGAACATTGAGGAACACGTAATTTGTAATAACGTGTTTAAATGTTTAGGTATTTGTCATAACAGCATATTACAATATATTACGAGTGTCATTGACGATTTTTTTCCCCCAAGCCATTGCACAAACAGCAGAACTACTAATGACTATTAAAAGAATTCAAGTAAAATTACACATATTATGAAAATAATAAKAATAAATACATTTAACGATTACATTTAACAATTTTTAAAGGTTTTTTTGTCATACGAAGAAAAAAATAGTCWAGTGGTAAATCTTTTAAACCAAGAAAACATAACCACCAATAATGGTATAAAAAAATCTACAGTCAACTCAGCATCAATTACTACAAATACTGACAATGAAACGATKCAATCAAATTATTTGAGTATAGTTATTTCAAATGCAACGGCCAAGTGGACTCAAAATGAAAATGAGAACTGTTTACGGCATATCAATCTAACTGTAAGATCTGGTCAATTGGTCGCAGTTATTGGACCTGTAGGAGCTGGAAAAGTATGTAAAATAGTTTACAACTATATTTTGAGTAAGTTAATATTAATTTAAAATACTAAAAAAAATTTAAGAGTTCATTAATACAATTGATTCTACGAGAGCTACCACTTTCCGAAGGAAAAATTTCAGTACACGGTATACTTTCTTATGCATCCCAAGAACCGTGGTTATTTGTAGGTTCTTTGCAAAAAAATATATTATTTGGTTCTCCAATGGATGAAAATCGTTATAAACAAGTAAACATTTGGAAATTATTAACGCGATTATCATGAAGGTACTTAAAGTTACCTTTTTTGGAACGATTATACAATAGGTAATAAATGTGTGTGCGTTGAAAAGAGATTTTGAACAGTTTCCATATGGTGATAAAACAATTGTGGGAGAAAGAGGAGTAACTCTCAGTGGTGGACAAAAAGCAAGAATCAATTTAGCTCGGTATGTTATACACAAAGCTGATAAAAGGAAATAGGTATTAATTTTTTTTTCATGCAACTACTTTTTCAGAGCCATATATAAACAAGCGGATATTTATTTATTGGACGATCCTCTTTCAGCTGTCGACACACATGTTGGCAATCATTTGTTTGAAAAATGCATTAAAGGTAATTCTGCAAAAAAATGTTCAAATTATAGATTGATTAACATTCAAAATTATTTTCCAGGTTTTCTTAAAGAAAAAACTTGTATTCTTATCACACATCAATTACAGTACTTGACGAGTGTAGAAAAAATTGTTCTCATGGAAAATGTAAAAATAGATTATTATTTTTGTTATTATTGGGATACATAATTCATAGCTATATTTTTTTTAGGCAAATATTAAATCAGAAAGTAC